ATTTATTTCATTTATTTTTTTTAGAGGGATATATATTTATTTCATTTATTTGATTTTATTTACAGAGTAACTAACTACACATAAAAAAATTAAAAAAAAAATAAATAAATAAATATGTAAACACAGACACGACGAAACAGGGGTAAACAAAAAATGGTCTCTCTCTCTCGATTAAACACAGAGACGAGACGACGAGATACAGATCGACCAAAAAACAGATCGATCGAGAGGACGAAACAGATCGATCGAGAGAGAGGACGAAACAGATCGAGATTATGATATACAGAGATCGACGAAACATAGATCGACAGAGATCGATGCAAGCAAACAAACAGAGGGAGCGAAAGGGAGAGAGAGATCGACGAACCTGATCGAGAGAGAGGGACGACCGTTGAGCTGCTGTTCGAGATCGACTGAGAGGCAGATCGGTGGACTCCTCCTCTCCTTCGCGGGTGCTGTTCGAATTCGACCTAGAAGGTAAGTTAGATTATAATTTTTTTTGTTTTTGTTTTTTATTTGATTTAATTTTCATATTTTACATTTTGGCCCCATTTTAAGTTTTTTAAATTATTTTTTTGCCCCCGCCATATCCATACCGTATCACGCCCGTATCCTGACCGTATCCTCCCGTATCCGAGACGTATCCGAAATTCAAAAATTAAAAAAAAAAATCGGATACTCTATTTCCCGTATCCGATACGTATCCTCGCGTATCGGGCGCGTATCCGTATCCGATACGTATCCGATACGCATACATGGCCTATTTTGGAGTATCCGTGCTTCATAGGGCAGAGGTTATTCAAATCGCAGGGCTTTTCCCAAATTAAGTAAAATTAGTAACTTATTGGGAGATTTTTTTTAAGGTCCCTAATAATAATAATTTAGAGGATAAAAGATATCTAAAAAGATAATGATGCATTATGTCTCTGAAATAACTTGGCGCGCGTTTTTAATTATTTTGTGGACCAAAATATCCTTGCCAAAATCAATACAGAAACAAACTTATTCCGACGTCTGAGTTACATTCCAAACATCCAGCATCTTCATGAACAGGAGAACAGCAGAATTAGGGTTTCAATATCATCTGCACCATCGACATTAGAGCTTCGTTATCTTCTCCAAAAATCATTCTCATTCCTTCCTCACAAATTTCTCTAACCTAGGTTAAAGCTTCGTTTTCACTGCTCATCATCATCTCAGTCCATCTCCGTCACGTCGCATCTTCATCTCGGGCCATATCAGCTCGTCATTCAAGTTTCATCCTAACTCTGGTCAGTTTTTCTACAATACAACTACATTTTCTCTGGAAACACAGTTAATAGCATTTTATAATAACCTTCCATAAATTAGGGTTTCAATTTCGTAATAAAAAGCTACCTGAATTTGGAAAAAGTTATTTCTGTGTATTTTGAACTTATTCTTCAACATATTTGTGTGATTTTATCTGTAAATTTCTCTGGCATTTGAATTTCTCTGATTTTTTATTAATGTACGTTTCTTCTTTCAATTTTCTCTGGCATGTTTATTTTGTGTTTCTGTAATATGTATTCTTGAATATGTATTTTTAATTGGAATTTTTTGGTTCCAATGTCTTAAGTTTCTCTGGTATTTTTAATTAGGGTTCCAATGTCTATTGCTTTTTTGCCTCTGTCTACAGGGTGGTATTTATAATTTTCTCTGACCACATCACATCACTTTCCTCCCTTGTGTCTTTGTCATTTTTAATTTTCTCTGGAATTTTAATATTATGGACTGGAATGAATGTTTCTTCTTTGAATTTTCTCTGCCATGTGTACTTTGAGAAAAAGTTATTTCTCTGAATTTTGATCTTATTCTTGAACATGTTTCTGTCATTTTGTCTATGAATTTCTCTGCTTTGTAAATTTCTCTGGAATATGTATCTTTCTCTGCAATGTCTATTACACTCTTGCCCCGTCTAAGTTTCTCTGGTATTTATAATTTTCTCTGACCACATCGCACCACTTTCCTCCCTTGAGTGTCTCTATCATGGTTAATTTTCCCTGATTGTGTATGTAAATTTCTCTTGCATTTTAATATTATGAATTGAAATTTTCTCTAGAATGGAAATTTCCTCAAGAATGTGTAATTTTCTCCAGAATGTGCATTTTTCTCTGGTATGTTTATTTTGTTCAATTCTTGATTTCAATATGGTGTAATTCTCAGTGGCATGTTTACATTACTTTGT